AAAAAAAAAGTTCAAGATATTTTAATTGGTCAAATGACAAAATTATCCTTCAATTAATGGTAAAATATTTATTCAATTTCCCCCATTTTCACTTCTTTCTTCTTCAATTTCACTATGCAACCCTTTTCTCTAAATTTGAAACTAATGTCATCTTCTTCACCTAATTTCCTGTGCATTTCAAGATTATAAAAATATTTCTTCTTCCATTCAAGTTTATTTCACACTGCTTCTTCACTCTTTGTTATAAATTGGTACGGTAAAGAGGTAAGATTTTCTTCAATTTGTTTTTATTTTTTTATTTTGAAATGTGATTTGATGCTTCAATTGGTGTATGAATAACATAAAAAAGTATAAAAAATGCATAATTTATGATTTAGCCCTCGTTTGGTGCACATTTTGAAAGTAAAAATGTATTTTTACTGTTGATGTGATGAGAAATATGTGGTTGAAAAAGAAGGAAAAGTTATTGATGTGATGGAAAATATTATTTTATTGAAAAATGTGTGGTTAAGAATGAGAATGAAAAAATTAATGTGGGTCTAACAGAGTGTAAATATGGATAAATTAGGAAAGATCTTGACAAAAATTAATTTTCCAATGACNAAATAATGTGGATCAAACAGGGCATTAGTAGTTTATTTGTATAATTTTAGTTGAGTTTTTATTTATTTATTTTAACGTTGATAAATTTGTGATACATTTGAAATTTTGAAGATAATAGGTTAAAGATGAATTCATCTATTAGCATTGTTATAAACAAAATTGTGTCAATAACGTGATAAAGAACTTAGTAATAAAACTTATCAATGAAATCCCTTTGTTGTTTTGATATTAATCGTAAATACATAATGTAATGAATTAGTGACTTGTTTCTCATACTATTTCTCTTTTAGCCATAAATTTGAGTTTTTTTTATGTTTATTTTGTATTTTTTATTGCAGTAATTGCAGTTATTGTAGTAGGAATTTAGATTATTGAAGTTCACTAGTTTGAAAGGAGTATTTGGAGGGTGTTGGAGTTGAAGTTATTTTAATTATATAGAGAATATATGTATATAGATGTTTGGATGTGGATTAAGGTTTGAATTTTTTGAGGAAATATTGAAGGTCATTAAAAGGGAGCAAGGTAAAAGCCTTGCTACCGTATTCTCTCGCTAAAGTGAAAAATAGAGGCAGGATTTAATAGTGGCAGGAAAATTCTACCTCTGACCGCTTAAGCAAAGAATAGAAGCAGGAACTTGAGCGAGCACCTCTTATACTTATCAGGAAGTCTCTTTCTATTCTTAATAAATTTTTTAAATTTTCTAGATAGGTAGGCAATCTCATCATCCTTAAGGATGTCATCATAAGCGAGTGTCACTATCTGCTTCCCTAGTAGTTTTTAGGGGTAATGAATTGTTCTTCTTAGACTTATGTATGCTAAGTTCATATGTTTAGAGAGATCCTACGAGTTCTTCCATCTTAATTACATCAAGGTCCTTGCTTTCTTTAATAGCAATCACCTTGGATCTCATAATCTTTCAGGTAAGGATCTCATAATCTTTTTCACAATTTTAACTTCAGGAATATTCACACCTAAGTTGAAACTAGAATTCCCAATATCATTTAATTGAGTATAGAAATCATCAAAAGATTCATAATCTTTCATCCTAATTTCTTCAAACCTTGTAGTCAACATCTACAACTTAGAGTTTTTGACGGTCTTAATTCCCTCATGTGTGGTTTCTAAGATGTCTCAATCTTCTTTTGCAGTGTCACACATAGACACCCATCTAAACTCCTCATGGAAAATAGCCATAAATATTGCATGAATACCTCTACTATTCCTATTATATTCATCTATATCATTCTTAGACTAAATGGAAACCTCTGTAGGGGTAACTAAACCTGCAATGGTGGTAAAAGGGACGGTCCAATCTTTTTGTACACTAACCCAAACATGTTCATCCATAGACTTAAAAAGACTTTCATCCTAACATTCCAGTGATCATAATTAGCACCATCAAAATATGGGGGAACAAAAAGTAATTGACTTATCTAGACAAATTATAGGGTCAATGATAAATTCTAGCTCTAATACCATTTGTAAAGTAATTTGCGCGTAATTAAATTAAATAATTATAAGATATTTAAACCCAACTATGCGAAATTAAATAATAAAGAGCAATAAATCACAATTTATTGTCTCTAGATGATTAAATTTAATCAATCCAATTNATTGTCTCTAGATGATTAAATTTAATCAATCCAATTAAACCTATGTTTCAATCAAATAAAATAAAAGGCGATAAGGTAAATAATGAATACTAAATACGATCACGAAAAAAAATCCATTGAAGAACTTTCACAAGGATCAAAAAATCTCCGCACAAGCTCGTCGGTAGAATTCACTAGAAAAGTTAACAAACTTGCCAGTAGAATTCAATAGAAAAGTTAAGTTACAATTGGTCCAGACACTGTTAAATTTTAACAAATGACTATGATTACCTAAGTTGTAAATCAACGAGGAACTCCTTCGGTTGTGCACGCTCGTACTTCTTAGAACTACGAGCTACTTCTCTCTTCGCTTAGATCAACGAGAACGCACCTGTTCTTGAGTGTCGGAACTCCAAGTGCTCTTCCCAAAATTCCAGAACTTTGAAGGTTAATTGGCGAACATGGGGTTTTGTTTTGGTGTTTGATCAAATGATCTTTCTGTGTTTTGATCTGAGACTGAGGCAATAGGTATTGGATTATTGATTTGGAATTCAAAGTAAGTTCTCTTGACTTAATTCAAGGCTCAACTAATGATGAAATAAGGTTTGAGATCAATTATATGAAACTACGAATTTTTAGGTTGAATCAAATAATCAAAGAATGTGTTTTTTCGGATTTTTAATATGATCTCTAAGGTAATAGAATGATTCAACATACTTTGAGATGTTTATGGGGCTGTATATTTATGATGGAGGTGTTTGAGATGAAAATGGAATATAAAAAAAAGTGTTTTATCCAAAATTGGGAGTTGCTGAATCGGACCGTCGCTCGAGCGAACTCCATCGTGCCAACTGAGTAGCAAGCCAGCCGCTCGAGCGAGAAAGTTGAGAACAGCGAGCGTCAATGCTCCTGTTTTGAGCGCTCGAGCACCAATCGGGTGTGAAGCGAGCGACCGAGACTTCCTTTTTTACTCTACTTCTTGAAGTTCGAATCTTGATCTTCTTCTTATATTTTTTTGACTTCTTTTTGGACTCTATCAATCTCAAACTGTTTTGAATTTAATTACAACTTAATAAATTCCTAATATAATTCAACTAAAACGTGACTGTAATTACGGAAATTGTCAATTATGAGTTTGGAAATTGCTAATTATAAATTCGAAGTTAACACTTTTGATTTTAAGTTCTTCTCAGCTATTTTTAAGATTTATGATTATCTCCTTTTGGCTTTTTAGGGTTATTATAAGAGACTTTCATGTCTCTCTAATGATACGTTATCTAATCAGATTGATGAGATTAAACGTGTCACTAATTTTGACAAATTAAATGAGGTATAACATTTTATATTTTGTGATTCAATGAATAAAAAATTATGCATCATTTTCACGTTCTAATATTCACGTGTACATCATTTGCTTTTAAACTTGATTTGACATATTTATATTATAAAATATTATACATATCATTCATTCGATACATAAAATATTAAATACCCGTGCTTATTACTAGTTCAAAAAAACAATATATCACGCATCACAATTATCACGTACACTATGTTACGTGAACATCTATAGGAATCCTGAAACATGAAAATCTTTCATAAACCATAACACGAGAATTTAAAGTGGTCATTTTTCAAATGATCTTGCTACATATATATCAAGATTTACATAATGGATTATATAATGTCACTAACACTCTACAATTTGTCACTTTAAAACACAATCAACTTTTCTTCTAATCTTTTTCCTCAACATCATATCATGCAATCGATTATACACACACACACACACACAAGTAACAAAATCCTTTTTTTCAAAATGTAACATTTTGTACAATTTAACTTCAACTTCTATTTAAAAATTCGAATAAAGTAAAACTCCGACAATGTTCATGAAATCTATTCATTTGCTTCACCCCACTCCCAATGTCGCGTAAGTGCGTTGCTCGATCATTTCAACGTTCAAATAAGGCTGTGTTTGATAACAATCATTTTTCATGGAAAATGAAAAAAAATTTCCATTTACCTACTTTTTCATCTGTTTGATGTCAAAAATTCTATCTGGAAAACATTTTCCAGCTTCCACCCACGCGCCACTTTTTCCAGGAAATTGATGAAAATGTTTTCTTTTGTTTTTGTTGGTTTTTCATTTTCCAAGTTCTGCTTTTTTTTTTTTTTGGCAATTGAAAAAAATTTTAAACACAATGGTAAAAAAAATTTCATTTTTATTGACAATTTTCATATAAAACAAAGCCAAACGAATGGTACTCGATATGGTAATTTTTTTTAATTTCAAATTTTTTTTTTTGGAAATTGGAACAAATTTTAGAATTTTTTTCAAATTTTTTTTTGTATTTTTTTTTTTTTTTTTACAATTGGAACAAATTTTAGACCTAATGGTAGAAAAAATTATCACTTTAATGGACAATTTTCATAAAAAAGAAGTCAAACGGACACCAAACTTTTAATATTTTCTAAGTGGAAAATAATATCAATCAAACACAATTAATTACAATTCTCAATAAAATAATTTTTAGGTAATTCAATTCCCTATAAAATATTTTCTTTCCACCCATTTTTCACATTTGCAATCAAACGGACCCTAGATGGCTAGGTGTTTTCTGTTAGTTCCGGATATTGGTGACACAGCTACGGAAGGTTGGGGACCTCGGCGGAATTATCCCAATCTTACAGTTAGGAGATACGACGTCGTTCAGTTCTCAATTTCTCTCCCACTTTCTTCTTCTAGTGAGTTTTCTCTGCCCTCCCTGCACTGGAACCCTAGAAGCAAGCAATTAACTCAAGATGGCGATAGCGAGAACCGGTGTATTCGTGGACGACTATTTGGAATGTGAGATTTTTATTTTTATTACTTTTTAATATATATACGGTGAATTTGAATTGTTAGATGAAATTATTTGTGAATAATAGCGAAAATCAATTGTTATTTTTATTATTAGATTCGAGTACGTTACCCGCGGAGCTTCAGAGGTTGCTCAACACCATTCGAGAATTGGATGAGAGATCCCAAGGTTTCCCCTTTGTTTTCTGTTTTCTACTTTAAATATGCATTCTATAAGTAAGAATAAATGACGGACTTTGCTAATTTGTATAAATGTATGAAAATTTAAGCGATGATAAATCAGACAAGGCAGCAAACCAAGTACTGTTTGGGATTGGCATCTCAGGGAAATGGGGGATTATTCTCAAGGAAATATGGTGTCAACAGCGATGAAGACGATGAAGCAATTGAAAAGCTTCAAAAAGATATTGAGGCCAACCAGGACAGTGCACTCAGTCTCTGTACAGAAAAGGTTCTATTGGCCCGACAAGCTTATGATCTCGTAAGCCCACAATGTCATTAATGCTACTGCACTTGGACCCTCTGAAGAATTTTTCATTCATAGGGTCGATTCCTTCCATAGTAGCATGAACTGCTCTGGTTGCATTTGATTGTGATAGTACCTGAATTAGTTGGACATTGGAGTTTGGTCATTTGTCCTTTTACCTGTTTTATATGGTTTTCGTGACTTATTATTTTTTCTTTGCACTGCATGTTAGATGGTATCACATCTTTTATTATTATAGTTAGAAAAATAATGCAGAAATAAACAGCTTGTTACTCTTCAACAACTCTTATGTTTGATCAAGAGACAATGTGGCTGTTCCCAAAATTTCAATATAAACAATTGATCGCCTTGTAACAGCGTGCAAACAAAGAGAGAAATAATAAGGTAATGCTTTTTATCAAACTTTTGGGCAAAAAAAACTCATACATAGAATTGCTCTTGCAACTCCTGCTGAAATTACAAGCATCTTCCCCAAATTTATGTACAGTGATTTTCCACAGACACGTTAGTCTTCCTTCCGCTCTTTGATAAGTCATTATAGTGACAACGATCGTTATTAAACTATGTATTTTTCCCTAAGATGGTGGTCTTTTGAGTAATTTGGAGAAATAGCTTTTGATAATTTAGATGCTTTCTTTTCCTCATTCCCCCACCCACCCCCTGAGTTTGTGGAGTGAAGGTGGGTGGAAAGAGTTCCTTAGTCTCTTAATCTTTAAACCTTGCTTAAAGCATTATGTTATTGCAGTAGTTTTGATAACCATGAATCTGTTACTAGAATTCACCTGCTTACATGCCAATGCATTTAATTGATCAGCGTTTTGATATTATTGATATTCTGAAGAGTTGGAATATGTGATGTATCTTGCTTCTTTCCCACTTCTCTTCAGATAGATAGCCACGTAAAACGACTTGATGAGGATCTGAACTACTTTGCAGAAGATCTGAAACAAGGTACATCAACTGCTTCTTGGGCAATTTATTGGTATTGTATTATTAGTTAATTAAATAATGAAATGAGCACTTGGAATTTTCTGACCCTGAAGTAGATTCCCTATTAAGATTAGCTGCCAGGTTTCTGTACCCATGGTTTAAAAAAGTGAATCCTAGGCGTGCCTCAAATTGAGGCGCATAGAAAAAGCTTCAAGGCATGAATTTTTAAGTAGGTTTATGAGGCTTATGCCTTTACTGATTGAGACGTAAGCCTTACAGCGCACGCCTCAGATAGCCGGAGGTGTGTGCATCACTTTTTTATATGGTATATTTGCCTGGAACCAAACCGACTCGTATCTAAAGCTCACTTTTTGTTTTGTGTTACCAGCTTGGAAAGTAACTTTTGTTAGGTTATTCATAAAAGCAGATATAAATAAGAATAAAATAAGGATTATACACACGAAAACTAAAATAAACTCAAAGACAACATCAAAAGTTTTGTCGAGCACCGACTCCACTTCACCTACTCTTGCAACGGCAGCAGACCCGGCAATGGTTACTCCACAGCCGATTTGACCTTTATCTTTCTTGTTTCTGATTTTTTTTATTTTTATTTATTTATTAATTTCTTGTTGCTGGTCTTCCCTTTTCTGGTTGACTGCTTCTCCATCTCATCTTCACCCTTTCTTCTTCGAGTTTACTTATGTTTTGGGAAAAAACATGCATGCATCCATGATATATAAATGCATGTATTTTTGTTTCGGCAATAGTATTAGTTGGCTAAAGTTTGCTTAATCTATTACTTTTTCCCCCATCATTATCAAAATATATATTATCATAACTACAAAGTACAAGAAGATTTAAGATGTTATCTGAAACTTGTGTTTATTGAATCAGTAATTTGTTTTCTCGTAACTCCAATGGCATTGTGTTCGTCTTTATCTTCAACGCTTTCATGATTTAAATTTACTACTTTATTAATTTATTGTGTTTGTTTTCAAGTTACACTTTGCTTTATTGTGTAGTGAATTTTAAAGTTTGTTTCTCACTGGCTTATTTTGTACATTTGTTTTTTTATGACTTATTTTTTTTGCTTAATGCCTCAAAGCACCTCGAGGCTTACTCCTTGCCTCACAGAGCGATAAAGTACTTGATTTCGCCTTTTTAATCATTATCTGTACCGCAGCAAGTTTTATACTTTCTGGATCTAGACAGCACGATGCCTTTTTTTGTTTTTACCCATCTGGTGTTATATTATCGTGGAGCTTCAGTTTTTACATTTGTTTATCAATTTAGGCTTGTTTTAAGATTGGTTCTCACAGTAATTTTCTAAAATATGCCACTAGAAGTGTGCAGATTGAATTGTTTTGAATTTATTTCGGGATTTCATTTTCTTTTTAGAGCTTCATACCTGAAGGATCACCTAAGCAAGCCAATCCTTTTGAGGATCCACAATCATGTTGGTTGTATGTCCTGATGGCAATAGAGCATTAGCCTAACAAGGGGTGGTGTAGCATGTTGTGTTGAGAAGTAATAACTTGTGTTTTTCGTACTGTCATTTAATATTTTTTCCAATTTTTGCAGAAGGAAAATTAGCACCGGATGATCCAGTTGTACTTCCTCCATTACCTTTATTTCCCAAAAATGAAAGACGCAAACCAATTTATGGAACTCCTCAGTCAAAGAGGTTTGACTACAGGGATCGGGATTGGGACAGGGAGCGTGATAGAGATTTTGAGCTTATGCCTCCTCCGGGGAGCCTTAAAAAGGATTTTTCTTCACCTGTTGAGCTTGATCAGCCTATTGATCCAAACGAACCTACCTACTGCGTCTGTCATCAGGTTCTGACATCTATTCACTAATTATTTGTCGTTCCAAATCATTCTACACATCAGAAATAAAGATGTTTGAAGCTATTTCTTAGCTACTGAAGCTATTCTAATCTGACAGGTATCTTTTGGTGATATGATTGCTTGCGACAATGAAAATGTAAATTGCTGTCCCCTTATCATTGTTTCCTATTCTTTTACTTGTTGTTGTCATTTGCTCTTTTTGCATCCAATTGCATTTTGAATTTTTACGAGGAATTTCTTATTGTTTGAAGCAAAGGCGGCTTACTTTTCAGTAATACGGTAGTTGAAATACTTGTTGAGTTCATGCAGTGAATCTGTTCTTTTGCTGGGAATGGTACATATATGAAGTCAAGGGTGAATCCAAATTTCTGGATTTAGATCTCTTGTAAACTGTGTTCCTGCTGAAATTTGCATCGATCAGGGACTTTAGTCATTGCATTGATAATATAGAAATTGAAGGGATTAAATGTTTTGGCTAACCATTTGAGGAAAAACTTGTACTTGAAAGCTAAAGACTTCGAGTTTTTATATCTTACCTAATGCTGGGTTTTCGTTGACAGTGCCAAGGGGGCGAATGGTTTCATTATGCTTGCGTTGGCCTGACTCCAGAGACGAGGTTTAAAGGAAAGTGGTATTGCCCAACTTGTAGGCAATTACCACACTGATACTTCAGCTCAGGCAACGTCTGATTGAAGGATTGACTTTTGAAATTGCGAATCGGTGTAAATTCTGTAGCCTGGAACAGTTGTGTTGATTGTCAATATAAATGGTTTAACTCATTGTGGTGTGTGCTGATTGAGAAGCGAGTAGAGATTATTTTAACAATTTAGCTATCAAAAACTTGCGATGAGTGAATTTTCAACCTCTTAACCTTTCTGAGCTATATATATATAGTAAAATCTATCCCTTAATATTTATTCTCATTAAAGACTTTTTGACATTTAATGATAATATTCACAGAGTTGTGGCTACATCCAATTGCAAGATAATGGCTCCATAAATAAATATGACTACCATTGAAATCTACTTGATATGAGGAAATTTTAAAAGAGTTTAGAAGCAATCATCCGGCACCCACCCATTGGCCTATGAACAAGAAAGGATTAATTAGTTCTAAATGAAAATACGCAAACCGGTGGTTGTTTTGTTCAATTTGCAAATTAAACAGTTTCACTCTAAAAATAGCACTTCGTAAAGCAAAAATAGAGAATGCCAGTTGTCTGTGAAATCGAATTCCCTTAGTACACCAGAATCTGTGAACCCATTTTCTGTGGAAGGGAAAATAAAATTTGTTATTTAATGTAAGGGGGAAGAAAATATAGTGTTTAAATTAATGAATTTAGACCTTCTTTGTTATCCATTATTTTCAAAATATATTTTTCTCTCTTATTTTCAATCATACATTCTTCAATAAAATAATATTACATACAAATTCAAAACTTTTTCTTATTTTTTAATTACACATTCTCCATCAAAATATTATTCCAAAATGTATTTTTTATCAAAAAATGGGGGTAATCAAGCTTTTAATAAAGATAATGTTGAAACGTTACGTGGATAAAAATAATGGCTCCTTAATTTTTTATTACCTTGTTATAAAATAGAAGTAATAGAACAAAAGGAGAAGAAAATATAAGAGTCAAAACTTAAGTGTGTATTTTATTGAGAATCACAATCCGTATTTATAGGGTTCAAAATAAGAGTTACAGTTGAAATGAAATTAATCTTCTAAACTAGATAAGACTTATCTCATTACTTACAATACTCTCTCTCCGATTATTTGGACAATGACTATCTCATTGAAACATTGTTTGGTAAAAATTTGATGAAACAAATATACCAACAAATGAAAAAGGAGTACAACTAATTTGGAATAATAAAATGTTGTCTCGTTAAAATCTTGTCAAGAAAATCCAGTGGGACAAAACTTGTCGAAGAAAAAAAGAGTACAGTTATTCCCTCTGATTTTAAAATTCTTGTATCAAGCTATCTATGTTTTGTACGTCAATATCTTCAATATTGCAAATTTTGGTGAAGTATGTCACATATTATCTTGTATAGTTTTTAAATAACGTCTTCATACAAGATATTTATCAACATTTGATAATTGTAGTAACATGATGATTTAGAAAATAATTCTTGTTGATATCTTCGTGAGTCTCATACATATAAGAGTATACTTTGAAGGTAAATGTCTTGTATGTTATGGACATTCATCACACAAAGAATATATCTCGTTAAAGTTTTATTAAGAAAAATCCTGTAGGAAAAATCATAATGAAGGAAAAATAGAATATTATTCTTTTGAATACGCCACAAAAGTGTCTCATTAAAAATATTGTTAGAAAAATTCAATGTAACAAAACCTTGGTCAAGGGAAAAAAAAAAGTACAACGCGTATTCCCCCCTCATGATAATAGCACTTGAATTATATGTTTCAGACATAAAATTTTTCAAAAATAGTTTTAAAACCATACAAAATAAGTTGGACTATAATTACATTTACTACATGCATATCAACACGCTAATGAAATAGAGACTTGTGATTACATACACCACATGATAATTTATCTATAAATACAAATTTTTGCGAAATTTATTATGCAAAGAGTCGTACATTTCATATTACGACTTTACTTTTTCTATTTTCATTTTGCATAAGTATACACCTTTAAGTATTCGTATTGTAGATCAAGAAACTTCAAGTTTATCTAATAAGTTTAGTTATACTAGGATCGCATTCAGAAACTTCAGTTTCTTATGTGAATTCAATTTTAGTATGATCGCATCATTTATTTGATCAATCATTACTTCGGTCGATATGTTTTAACGAATTTATTTTGATTCATTGCTATTCATAATATGGTGCAGTATATCATGTACAAAAATATTGTCGACAACTTTTTCTTTTCTATTTCTTTCTCCATAATATCATAAATTATTAAGAAATCTCCACTTTCAATATATCATGTACCTAAATCTCTCTTGAGGATTTATAATTTGTCACGTCTAAATACTCATTAAGAGTATATGTCTCCTTAATGAGATCATCTTTGCTAATTGCTCCTTTTTTGTTTGGAGATTTTTATATTAGAGTCGAATATCATCACGCTTCAAGTGTGCCATCAAATATCATATTAACTAATTATCCTCTAGAACGATATTTCGAGTTGGAGCATTTTAAAGTTGATGTGTGGGATATTATTGATCTATTTACTTAGTAAATGCATCTAAATAAATTATCATTTGAACTTCTAGTTCGATTTATCTTTTGCGATAAGTTAGAAAATAATGCATTTGTACATTATTTTTAACTTCTTAATTTATCTCTCTAATGCTGAGAGAATTGCCTAGTCAAATTGACAATCAGCAAACCGATTTATAAAATATTACCTGTTAGGGCTTGAGACATTGTAAAATGGTTCAAACTATTCATTTAATCTCATCATTCTTTAATTTTCATCTTAATGCATTGTGGAGGATTAAGTTTGCATGTAATGCATTATTAAAATAATTAGATGGAAAAACTTGGCTTTGATCGTAACCCAATTATAATAAGGAGAATTACAATGTTGACATGAAGCATAATAGCTTTCTCTAAACAGAAATGAGAAGTACTTTGTTCCCAGTTAAAGTAATTGGAGGTGTTTAACAAGTAATAATGTTAAACTATTTATCGACATCTCAACTAACACTTATCAAAAGATTGAAATTTAAGATCACTAACATTAACAAGATACAAATCTTGATTGTATAATTTGAAAATTATGTTCATAATTTAAAATTTGAGCAATAATTTAACAAACTTCAGGTTGCAAATACCATGCAATGATCTAGTATATGTATAAAATATATTAGATATAAATAATATTTAGATAGTCAATGTGGAGGATGAAGGGTCATTTATCACCCTGATTAATTTTTAAAAATATAGAGAATTCAATCCCTATTTTAGCTAGTGATTATCAATTTCGATATAGATAACAAATATTATATAGGAATTCATTGGATTGAAAAATCTTCTGGTTCTTCATTGATGTTCGAATTCTCAATTTCACATCATTATTGATCTAGTGATGGTCTAATTGAACATGCTAAATAATAAAATATAAGAGTTATTAAACTTTTGGTTCAAAACAATATTTATTAAAACGGTCACTAAAGTTTAGTTTTAGTGTACCAAGTAAGAAATACTATTACAAACTTTGTATGTTTCTTTTTTATTTAGTGGAGAATAAATTACTAACAATAGTAAATATATCTTTTCATATCACACAATATTGACTCTTTTGGAGTCTCAAAATAATATTCTTTACGAGTATTAATTTATTAAACTATTGCTTCTTTAGAAGCAATTTATTTAAAATTACAATTCTCCAAAATCAATAAAATATTTACATTGAAATGTTTAAATTGTGACTCTTAAAAAATAGTCACATAATATTACTCAAAAATATAAAATTTTGCTTCTTTTAAAGAAACACAATATTTTTCAAGAATATTGATTTATATTAATTAATTCAAACAATTCTTTAATATTCTTCTGGGATATTCAAATGTTTGAATCATACATTTATTCCAAAATAACAATAACATTATACTCTTCAAAAGTAATAACATATTATTGTTTTGAATAATAAATTATGTAACGATTTACTCTTCAGAAGTAAAAAACATAATTTATTTTAGATTTTGTATTATTATGCTCTTCGAGTGCAAGTAAAATCTAACTAGAATATTAATAGAAATTATAATATGTTACTTCAAAAGTATGTTATATTTTACTATTATTTTTTCAAGAGCAATATGTCAATATTCTTCTAAAATATTAAAAATTAAAATTCATGCTTTTCAGAAGCAAGTAATATTCATCTGAAATATTAATTATATTATTTTGCAATTTAAGTGACAACAACAAACTATTATTTCGAAATATTATCTCTTCTAGAGCAATTAATATTCTTTTAGAAAATTAACATGTTGTGCTACTTCAAGAACATTAACAATATCGTTTATAGCCATTACTTCGAATCAATAAGTATATTTAATTTCATTTTCGTTAAATTAGTATATTGTTTTAATCATTTAATCTTATATTGATATAAGTAGATAAATTTTTACATTTCTTAAACAGATCTATAATATTTTTAAGTAAAAAGGAGAAAAAAATTCATTTGCATGTATATTATTTCAGACAGATTAATGACCGTGTGTAAAACGCCAACCCAGCCATCTGGGCACAAAGAATAGTCGCCCCAGACGGCTAGGTCGGCTGCTAAAATCATCTGGGCTGTCTGTTAATAGCTGGTCCGGTCGGTTGGGCCGACTGTTTTTGCCTTTTTAATCTATATTAAAATTATGTTTCGTAATGCAAATATATGATCAGCTACAATCTCGATTTGTTATTTTGGTGAATTTGAAATGAATGAAAATTATTGTTGGGTATGTAAAATGGATGAATGAAAGACGTGGTACTATTGTAATTGCAATAACATTGAATGCATCATATGCAGAAATTTACCATGATTTACAAAACAAGCTCAACGTCGATCCCTCTAAGTACGACATGAAATTGAGATTTCTATTTAATGAGCATATAGCCATTTCAATTCCGTCTGTAAAGGTTTCTTCTGAAGCTGAAATGAAGGTTCTAATCGCATTACTT